TTCTTTGGCAAAGATTTAATGTCACAACAAATAAGACATAAATTTATAAAGATTTCTAATCTTAGAGGTTTTAAATGGTCATTTGCAACACAGTAGAACTGGCTCAGGAAACCTTAGAGATTATGTAGTTAAATGTATTATTCATTTTACAGAAAAGGAAGCCAGGTCCAGAGAGGTTAAGTGCCTGCCTAGTTAAGGACAGAGCCAGGATATGACCCCAGATCTCTGATTAATAGTCCAGGACTCTTTGCATGACACCAAGCTACCTTTCCTGTTTTGTTTGTTGAAAGAACATGCACTCTTTCACTATTGCAATGGTACCATCACCTGCTTCTTACCTCTTCCTGGGACTGGTTGAATTGCTGTATCAGTTGTGCTTGTGCCAGCATTACTCTTTCCAGTTCATCTGACTTCTGTTTCATTTCCTTCCTCAAGTCCTCTGAAACTGAATCATTACTGTCAATTTCCTTCTTCAAGCGTGATTCAAATTCTGCAACCAAATTTTTAAGGTTTTCGATTTCTTTCTCCTTTAACTCAGATTCTTCAGTATATTGAATATGGGATTCACGGAGCTTTTCTTCAAGAGCAGCCACTTTCAGCCTTAGATCCTTAGTAGCGCCTTCAATTAAGTCAGATATCTGTAAGATAAATCTTGCCTTAGTTTGTGGGTGATAGTCTTTAGGTATCCACAGAATTCTCGTGGTTTTAAGAGGTTTATTCTAAATAACTGGTGTTCTGATCTGATGAAAACAAATCCTATGACATATATAGGGCTTCAAGATTTTAAAAGTTAAGACTAAAATTTTATTTTTATCAACTAAAATGGAATTGCATTAATCACTTGGGCATACTTGGAAATACATAAATCTCTGTGGCTGAACTGAGCTACCAAGGACAGCTCAAGTCTTGATCAAGTGCCTGTCTGGACTCACTTTAGGGTGGCTTTGGGACCTAGAAATGCCTGATGTTTGGGGATGCATGTAGGAGAGCACCACACCTATAGTCTACTCAAACCATACCAGTTAAGTTTTCCTTCGATATATTTTTTTTCTTTCTTGAATATGATGACTGGAGGTACCCTAGACACTACACCTTCTATAGCAGCCCTGCCCAACAGAACTTTCTGTGATGATAGAAATATTCTGTGCTGTCCTATATGGTAGCCACTAGCCACATGTGACTATTGATAGTGGTGTGCTGGTAGATATTTAACAACGGACTCACACATACACACACAAAAGCCAGATTTATATCTAATTTCCATGGTGTGAATACTCTCACCTTGGCCAATTCCAAGCTATGAAGGTGATATCACTGTTCGTTAAGCTGGGAAGAAATGCACATAATAGGCTCTCGCTTGTTAGTATGGGCTCTTGTGCATTTGAAACGTGGCGAACGTGAGTGAGGAACTCAATTTTCAATTTAATTTTAATTAATTGAAACTTAAGTAGACACATAAGTTACCACATTAGACAGTGCAGTTCTAGACGATACCAGAATACTTAGAAAATATACTGCTTCTAAAGGTGGTACCTCTAGACAAAGAGAGGAAAGAATAACTTGAGAAACTTCTCCTCAAAGTCATGAAATTCTTTAGAAGGGAAAAGATTACTTACTTTTTTCTCCTTAAAAAGCAAAACAAATAACAGAAAACAGACCAGGAAGAGCAAAACTCCTTCTGATGAAACATATCCTTATTATTTATGCTATGGATATTGTCACATAAATATTAGTACAAGAAATCAGCCCATGAAGAATCTGGAAAACATTCATAGACCAAAGTTCCAAGGATTTTGTGAACCATTACTTAAGTTATGTATCCAAAATTTGTTTCAAATGTTAAATTTACATTAAGAATAACTTTTACAAGAAATCTATTTACCACATTAGTAATTTTATAAATTAAATTAATATTCCATTTTCTTCAATTAATCCAGGAAGGAAGAGGGCCACTGCTAGGTCTGAACAGTAGTTTCCTTCATCCAGAGGAGAGCTGACACTGAAACAGAGCAGGTTATCCTGGGGAGAGGAGGCTCACATAGCCACAAACATGTTTTGATTTTTTAAAAAGGGAGTCAACATTTTAAAAATCAAGGGACCTCCCTGGTGGCACAGTGGTCAAGAATCCACCTGCCAATGCAGGGTACACGGGTTCGAGCCCTGGTCCAGGAAGATCCCACATGCTGCGGAGCAACTAAGCCCATGCGCTGCAACTACTGAGCCTGTGCTGTAGAGCCCATAAGCCACAGCTACTGAGCCTGTGTGCCACAACTACTGAAACCTGTGCACCTAGCGCCTGTGCTCTGCAACAAGAGAAGCCACTGCAATGAGAAGCCTGCACACCGCAACGAAGAATGGCCCCTGATCACTGCAACTAGAGAAAGCCCACACACAGCAATGAAGACCCAGTGCAGCCAAAAATAAATAAGTAAATAAAGCTGAATAATATTCCTTTAAAAAAAAATTAAAAATCAAGAGAATTCACTCACAAAATCTGGACTTACGATTTCTCTTGAAAGACTGTAGCCCTGGTAAGTTGGGGCCTGCCTTTCAGCATTCCCCTGCTGCTGGTCCTGAGCCACCTGGGGACTGCAACGGCAGTCACAAGGTTACGGGAAAAGTGGGGTGGGGGGCAGGAGCCAGGAAGCAAGAGGTCTGTCTAGGATAGAATCTGTCCAGAAGAGGAGGGGCCTAAGGTGAGCCAGGTTACAAGTTCCCAGCACATACTCCATTGTCCCAATATGACTTCACTTAACAAAACACAAATTAAGAGATAAAATTACTTTTTAAAAAATTTTTTAAGAATTTATTTTTTGATGTGGACCATTTTTAAAGTTTTTATTGAATTTGTTACAATATTGCTTCTGTTTTATGTTTTGACTTTTTGGCCCCAAGGCATGTGGGATCTTAGCTCCCTGACCAGGGATCCAACTCACATTGGAAGTTAAACCCTCTGCATTGGAAGGGGGCGTCTTAACCACTAGACCACCAGGGAAGTCCCCCCAGATGTAAAATTATTAAGAATTTCAAGACAGCATTTGCAGAATGTTAAACCTGAAAGGCCTTTTTGAGTGTGGGGACCTATGGTGCTACACCCACGTGGCTAGCCCTGCCTATCGTTCCCAGTGAGCTACTGAAAAGGCTGTACCATACCCGCTATACACCAAAGTAGAGGCCAGTAAGTCTCATTTAAGGCTAATTTACATAGACTCTTAATGAGTTTATTCAAAAATATGACTTCACCACTGGGTCTTGGTTAATACACACACACACACACACACACACACACACACACACACACACACACACACACTCTACTCTCAGGTGTTATGAAAACAAGGGAACCTTAACGAAACCTTGTATTATGTTTAGGATGCATTGCTTAAGAAATTATGGGGACTTCCCTGGTGGCGCAGTGGTTAAGAATTCGCCTGCCAATGCAGGGGACACGGGTTCGATTCCTGGTCCGGGAAGATCCCACATGCCACGGAGCAACGAAGCCCGTGCGCCACAACTACTAAGCCTGAACTCTAGAGCCCACAAGCCACAAGTACTAGAGCCCGCGTGCCTAGAGCCCATGCTCTGCAATAAGAAAAGCCACTGCAATGAGAAGCCCGTGCACCACAATGAAGAGTAGCCCCTGCTCACCGCAACTAGAGAAAGCCTGTGCGCAGCAACAAAGACCCAACGCAGCCAAAAATAAATAAATAAATAAAATAAAGTTAAAATGATACTTTGAAAAAAAGAAATTATGGAGGTGTGATTACATTTAAAAAATATTTTCCTTCATTCAAAAATATTTAGAGTTGAAAATATTTGCCATTAAAGGGGATAGCCTTTAACTGTTGGTAAAATTTTAATTATGTGAAACACCTCATTATCTTTTGTTGGATACTTGAGGTATTGGAACATCTAACCATGCTAATTATTAGTTATATAATTTATGCTGTTTTAAAAATAAGTTTATTTTAGTAGGAAAAAATACCATACATAGCTGGATTGTATGCTTATATAATTTATCTCAGTCATTCATTCTGGAGAATAGCCAAACCATTCTATCTACCTAAAACTAAGGCACAATGACCATGAGAAAATCTACAGGAGTTATAAATATAGTGGTGTCCTTAGGAGGAAATAACCAACATCTACAGTTTCAAACCCATTAAATAATGATGAACATCATAATGACAGACCTTCATTTGTAGTTCTTCTTTTTCTTTCTTACACTTTTGGATTATTTCTTGGTGTTTTTCCTTTTCAATATCGAGTTCCAGTTTAACTTCTTCAAAGAGAAGAGCTTGCTCCTGAAATTCAACTAAATGTTGGGCCCTTTCCTTGGCGAGTTCAGCTTCAACCTAGAAAATAGCATTTAACACACAAATAGAGCCATTTTATCTTAAGATAAGTAAATTAAGCCTATTTTCAGACTCATATTTTTTCTCCCAGTTTTATTCAGATATAATTGACATACAGTGCTGTATAAGTTTAAGCAGTATAGCATAAAGATTTGACTTACATATATCCTGAAGTTATTATCACAATAAGTTTACTGAACATCCATCATCTCATATAGATACAAAATTAAAGAAATAGATTTTTTTTCTTGTGATGAGAACTCAGGATCTAATCATTTTAAAAATTCTAATCCTGGGCTTCCCTGGTGGCACAGTGGTTGAGAGTCTGCCTGCCGATGCAGGGGACACGGGTTCGTGCCTCGGTCCAGGAGGATCCCACATTCCGCGGAGCAGCTGGGCCCGTGAGCCATGGCTGTTGAGCCTGCGCGTCCGGAGCCTGTGCTCTGCGGCGGGAGAGGCCACGCCACAATAGTGAGAGGCCCGCATACCGCAAAAAGAAAAAAAAAAAAAAAAAAAATTCTAATCCTAATATTAATTTTTAAATTCTAATGTTTAAAAACAATCTGACTCAGAACTCGGGCCAGAAAAGTTGACCTTGGGTCAAATAGTGTTACATCTTCTAAGACCATCAAAACCTGTAAAATGAGTAGAGAAGTTAGTACAATATATTATAACAGTTTTCAGAAATACTAAAAGCTTCATCTTCTGTACATTTATGGTGTAAACTCAGTCCTTGCCAGCAACCCTATAAGGAAAAAACAAAAGATTTTGAGGCTCCTTACACTAAGTTCTGCTGAAAACTAAGAGTGGATACAAGGAATAAATGTCGATTTTTTAAAAATGGTCCTTTCTTGATAGAGATCAGACAGTTTTGGGGTCAAAGATTATCATTTTAATGCGATTGAGGCCAGAAGGCTGATTGAAGGAAAACATAGTCAGTGATGCCCGTATCCAGATTTTGACTCACATAAAATCACGGTGCTGGAAGGGACCTTAGAAATCCCCTGGTTCATTTTCTCAAGCTTCCATGAATTGTGGAAGAATAAACAAAGGCTTTGGATTGAGTTTAAATCCTGGCTCTAAATCCTGGCTCTGCCACTCTAGTTGTGTGATCTTAAATTGTGACTGTAACCTCTCCTGATGTGGTTATAACTAATTCCCTTGGGGGTCGTTATGAGGATTATAAATGAGATGAAACATCTGTGTAAAGCTCTTGCACAAGCAGGGATTCAATAGGCAGTGGAGATTATTTCTACACCCTGACTTCAGTCTCTACCGTGGAATTTGCACCAAATCATTGTCTGCTCTGTGCCTCAACACCACCAGAAACCATAATTCACTCCTTCCCCAGCAGGCGTTTCCATTTTCAGATAGCGCTCAGCATTAGGAAGTTTTTCCTTTAGTTGAGCCAACATCTCTCTCCCCATGGTTTTTAACCATTGGCTTTGGCTCTGTCTAGCTCTGGAGCGAGAGAACAAATCTATGAGTCCTGGAGTCATTTAGCCCTGGGAGACTATATAGTGGAGTAGAGAAGGGATCCCAGTGACAGGCCGGCTCGAGATTTACATTGTGCCATGATTATAAATTCTAAGAGGGAGTAAATGCCAGATAACTTGGGAGAAAAACCGTCAAACATGACTTACTGTGACTGTGATTCTCAGGCCACTAAGAGGAGAAGGAGAGAGGTCAACCTGAATTTCTCAAGGGGATACTGAAACTAGGGTACCAGGAAACAGAAAGGTTGCTAAGAAAGTTTTCAGGAAGCCATTTAAATTACATAAAATCCACATAGAAGACTAGTCCCAGTGTGGGGTCTGTGGGATTTATTGCACTGGGTATAGGACTGACCATTTGCATCAAGGCAAAACAGTTACGTTTATACTCAATGCACGGAGTTATTTTGGCTCTCTCAAAATAAATTTCTGGATTGTTTGGGGGAAAGCATACCGATAATCATTTAGGAACATGATAGAACTGTTCAGGTGTGTTGCTAGCAGATTACAAAAGACAAGGAGAGCCTCAGGGCCCTCAGAAAAAAGAGCAGATGTTCTTCTGAATTCCAGGTACTTGTGTTCACTTGCCTCCTGGTAGCCATTTAGATACATCACAGGTATCTCAGAAAAACTGTCTGAACCAGAGATCTTGATACAATTCCCTCCCCACCTGTTCCTTCCTCAATGCTCCCCATCTCAGGACACAGTACCGTCACCCATCGAGTTATTCAAGTCAGTAACTGGGGTAATCACCTTTCACACTTCTGTCTCCCTTACCCTCCAAACCTAATCCAGCACCAAGTCCTGTTCATTTTGCCTCCAAAAGATGCATCGAATCCATCCATTTCTCTACACCTCTACTTCCACCACCCTAGTTGTGGTCACCACCACCTCCTGAGTGGCCTCCTTACTTCTATTCCTGCCTCTCTCCAACACCTGATACACAGCAGAGTGTTCTTCACAAACTATAAATTGGATTATTTTATTCCTTCTTAGTGGTTTTTCAGTGCATTAGTATAAAATCCAAACTTCCATACATGATCTTCCACAGGACCACCATCAGCCCATATGACACCTTTGTGTAGATCAAAAAAGCATGCCTTCCTTAGAAGAACACAGCCTTGGGCAGGGCACAAGACTTGGTGAGCAGAGCCCAGGCCGGATTCCAGCTCCCTTCTCTCCCTTGGCCTGTGCTATTAGTCACGATGCAACCTGAACAGCATGTATGGCGGCCCTGGACTTCTCCAACCTGACTTTTACTGCCTTTCCCGTTTGATTATTCCAGCCACACTGGAATAGATAAGTCAAGAACACATGAAAGGAGGAAATCAAATGCAAAACATTCAGAAAACTTCAAGAGTTAATAGCCCACAAGATACCATGACACTATAAAAAAAAAAAAAGAGTAAACAAACATTTTTTGAAAAACTCAAGAAAAACTTGTGCCAAGGTACTAAAATATCAAGTGTTCAAAAAAATTTCCTTGTGTGGTTAATTGGTAGAGCCAGAGTTATTTTAGGATAAAAAGACATATTTCAAAATATGGATTCAAATTAAGAGAACAAGGATGTACATAAACTATGTGGGACAGGACAAACTAAATTAGATGACAGAAGGACTTGAGAAGAACTTTTAAAAACAGAAGTTCTTTAAATTTATTATGGGGAAGAGGCCATTTAGCAAATCAGCAGAGTCCCTTGATGAAGAGGAAACAAAGGAAGAGTTCAGGGAAGGAAAGGGGGTGGCTGACTGGTTGAATGAGAAGAATGTTCTGTTCTACCTGAGTCAGGAAGAAAGGAGATCTTCTTGCCCCTGAACTGTTCCTTGGAATGAACTAGTGTAGGTAAGGGGAAGGGGAAAAAGGAAGGAATAGATGGAGGATGGGAAAGAAAAACACTGTAGATAAAAAGAAGAGTGATTTACTATTTCTGATTTGATTTTTAATTTGCACAACCTGAGAAAGAGAAGCAACGTGATGAGCTTCAGGTGGGATTTCTAAACATTTAAGGAAGCTGCAGTGGGAAGCCAAAAGCCATCTGAATGTGTTGACTGTAGCACAGAGAGATGACACTACTGGTTCCTTCACGATCTGAAGAGTCTGAACAAAGTGATGAGCCCACAAACAATGATTTGCTTAAGCTGGTATATTGTCGTTGAAAAGATGAATTCATACCAAATTGTCATGTTTACGTTTTTGACATGTTGATAAGAGCTGTTTGTTTAAAGTATCTTAGATGGCAGGACTTATGTTTATGCAAAATAAATGAATTAGGTGATGGTGCATACATATGTTATGAACTGCTTTATACAAAACTAATAGTAATTTTGAAAATCATGAAAAAATTCTAATCTCTAAAAAACAGCATGAATAATATATGAGTTCAAGAGCTACACAAAAATCAATTATTGTCTGTGAACACATTCCAGATGTTAATTCATCCATATCTTCCTCTAGCTCAAACTCTGTCTCCTCCCTGAAGGCCTTCTGATGACTCCAGAGCATTCTGAGTATGTTGTTTTTTAATTCCTTTTGTATTTGTTGTTGAAATGCATAATTAGGGTTTTATAATATTTGTGTCTAATACTAGTGTGCAAAATGCTATCTTTCCACTAATTATTTTCCAAGTGAGATCTTTGTGGTTGATTTTTTTTTTTTTTTTTTGCTGTACGTGGGCCTCTAACTGTTGTGGCCTCTCCCATTGCGGAGCACAGTCTCCAGACGCGCAGGCTCAGCAGCCATGGCTCACGGGCCCAGCCGCTCCGCGGCATGTGGGATCCTCCCAGACCGGGGCACGAAGCCGTGTCCCCTGCATCGGCAGGCGGACTCTCAACCACTGCGCCACCACGGAAGCCCTGTGGTTGATTTTGATATCATTTTCTAACTGTTCGTGGAGCCAAACACCAAATATAATCACTGATTACTTTGATGATCCCTTTAAAACCAAGGGAGTTTCTGATGTCAAAGTAGAAATCAGACCACTTGTTTATATTTGATGTATATATATCATTAAACAAAATATATCTCCTAAAAATAAATTATACTATTTTCTAAAAGTTTAAAAACAAATACTGGTTGAAAACTAATACTTCAGATTATTTCTAAATTAACCACTGAATAAATATGTTATAAAAGTAGATGACTATTCAAATACTAGGCTTTGTATTGTAGTAAAAAAAATACGAATGCTAAGGAATCAGACTATGCACTGAAGTCCTGCCAAGAACTGAGTAAACTGAGGGCGGAAGGAGAGAATGTTCACCAAGTAACAAACAGGCTAGGTGGTATGGTACAGGGATCTTTTCATCTACTAACTCATTTAATTCTTACAACAACCCTGGAAAGAACATACAATAATTATTATTCCCACTGTCTACAGTAAGAAATAGTCTCAGAGAAATTAAGTGCCTTCACAAAGATCTTAGAGCTACCATGAGGTGGAGAGGGCTGCACACCCAGGTGTCTCTGGTGGACTCCATAGCTCAGCGTGGTGAGTTTTTCCACACAGC